GCCCCCACTCATACCCCTTCACCTCTCCTTTACTTCTTGAAAGTCTTGTATTTCCTAAGTCTTTCCTGCTCATAATTATTGGTTTGCAACCTTTTCTATTTTCGTTAACTATGTAATCATTATATGCACATAGTCAAAGCGAAAGGACAAAGGTAAAAAGTAAGCCGGATTCAGCTTGATGAAAGAGGCGGAGGAGAGACACAATTTACAAGGCAACACTTTGTTGGTAGACTCTACACGCGACTTTCAGTTTATCGCCGACTCCGATGACAACGACGTATTCCAAGCAACAGCTAATTTTACAAGTCGAATCATTGAAATGGAAATTTAGACCCGCCCCCTAACTTCCAGCCAAATTAACTGTTTCTCAGTTCCACAAACCATTAGGCAAATTCACAAAGACATGGCATCATTGATCGTTGATAACGGATTTGCAAGAAATCAGGAACGTGTGAGGAGGGATCATGTGGTGGGGGAGGAGAGGAAGATCGGATAACGACGGATGGGTGCGAAAATTCGCGAATTCGGCGGTCTGGGCTTTGGGTGGATGGCACCTCTACGTCAGAAAAGTTTTTCACCACGCTAAAACCTTAATTACTGGTTGGCATCCAGTTGTCGATATCGACCAAGAATCAACCAGGGCAGGTTCTTAAATGGGCCTTTAACAAGAAGCTTAAAATAACTGTAACCTCCTTGGGTCAGAATCAGAGAAAATGTTCGGCTGTGGGGAAATAAATTATAACGGAAACCACTGGTGTTGATCATCTTACATTCGGCCAGTTTGGGTGGTTGGTAAAGAATAGATCAGAGGCAGAAGAATGGGAGCAATGTAAAAAAAAAAATTTTTAAGGGGGGGGGACGGTCGGCGTGCTTTCTTCCTTCATTGTCAAACAAGGATTTTAATACACTGTATATATATCTATAATTATAATATAATACAGTCGTGTTTGAACTATTGATTCACTGTTTAGGTATATCACTATCACTTCTCAATTGTGTGTGGTCCAGAAACACACGTCTCGAGCTTTCAAGTAATCTGTTTATAAAGGAAGCCCTTGATTCCAGAAACCCGATGTGAAAGGAGTTGGACTTTCTCGAGATTGAAGAATGAAAGCGAAAAGTGAATTATTCATTATTTTAAACTAAGATCCTCAATAGGCAGGGTTGAAGGGTCTCTATCTCTATCTATCTATCTTACTTTTAATCTCCTTGCTCTGTCTCTATCTCTCTCAACCCCCACCCCCACCCCACCCTCTCT